CTGGGACCTGGGCCAGCGGGGCGGGCGTAACCCGAGGAGGAGCCGTGGCGAGGCTGGGGCACCGGGGACCTCGCGGTGCGGGGAGAGGGTTCCACGGGGCAGCTCTGGTGGGGACGCCCCGAGCGGATGCCTCCCGGTCGGGGGTTGGGGCAGCTCTGGTGGGGACGCGCCGAGCCGATGCCTCCCGGTCGGGGATTGCGCAGCCCCAGAGGCGGCAGCCCAGGGGCGTGGCGGGCCTCCAGGGAAAGGAAGGTCTCCGAAGGGACAGGAGAGGCCGGCCTCGACTGCCCACCTGGGAGGAAGGAAGAGGTGGGCGCCCCCTTCGCGGGGCAGTGTTGGCACCTATAGGATCTCTCCCTTGGGAAGAGAAGGCTCTGGAAGGACAGGCGAGGAGGAAGGGGAAGTCGCCAGCACCAAGGCAGGTCTGGGCCCCGGGCCTCCAGTCCACCTGAGGCCTCGCTGGCTCAGGCGAGGGGGAGCACCTTGCACCCCTTGCACTCTGGCCAGAAGGGGCCCTCGCTCCCCCACAGCAACCCAAGGATGGCCATGGGCTCCGGGCTGGGGGCCGTGCAGGGAAAGCAAGGGAAGGCCGTCGGGCAGAGCCCTACGGCAGCTGTGCCAGGAACTGCGGCCCCAGGTACGGCAGGCAGGGCGACCTCGAAATAGATTCCCTAGCCCTTGTTATCTACTGCCGTGTGACAAGCACCCCAGGATTTCATGTTGGCCCCCCTTCAGTGCGATGCAATCTCTGGCAGGGTAACTGGATCAGTGGGAGCTTCAGGCTGGAGACTCTGGATCGGTGGCCTCCGGGTGCTCAGACCTCCTCCGCAGCCAGCCTCCCACTGCACCCCGCCTCGGGGTGCTGGAGGCACGCTGTCCACTGGCCCTGTGGTCAGAGTCCTGGACCAGCCTGGCTCCGGCAGGAGCAGGACTGTCCACGGAGACTGGCCTTGCCGGCTTTGACCTGGCCTCCAGGTCCTTGGATTGCTCGGCTGAGACCCCCAGGGCTGTCCCAGCAGATGACCCCCATGCCCATGCCAGAGGGAGGGCCCCAGGGGAGCCTCCTTCCTGGTGCGGCAGCTGGGCCCAGGCCAGTCGCACCCTGGGCAGGGCCAGCAGCCCCCAGTGAGAGCAGTGGGTGGCCTAGGACCCCCCACAGGGCATGTGGCTGGTGCCCCCCCCCACCCCGTCACAGCTGGCCCTCGCCTGGGCTAGGGGTGCTGGTGCCTGGGTGGGAGGGTGGCTCGTGGGTAGGTTTGGAGCTTTAGCTGATTTTTTAGATAATTTAAATTTTATCCAAATGACACAGGCAAAGAAAGAGGCCAGGACCAGCCCTGGGCAGCGCACAGCGCCTGCCCGGGCCCTGTGGCGTCAGCCAGGGTGGCTGCACGCAGTGGGGAGGTGCCCCATCCTGAGCAGTGACCTCCAGGCCCGGGCTGGGGTACGGGCAGCCCGAGGGGCTTGGCACCTTAGCGGCCGAAGGAGGCGGACAGAGCTCCTGAGGGGCCCCCTCCCCCCGCCGAGGGCAGGCGCCCAGGCCCAGGAGCCCGGCACCCCTGTGCCCACACGCTTGTGCGTGGACCCCCAAGGACGCGAGCCGCCTGGCACATGCGCTGTGGCCATCGGGGCCGGGAACCTGAGACCTGTTCTGGGGCTGTTGGCACCTCTCCAGGTGACCACTTGGCTTCAGGAGCCAGTGGGGCGCCTCCCCAGGGGTGCAGCCGCTGGGCCTGAAGAGGAGAAGGGCGCGCCCTGACCCCAGGGCCAGGCCAGGGGTCCTCTGCTCCTCAAGGCCGTGCCCCGCCATCCCACACCGGGGCCGCTCGCCTTGGCCTGCACGGGCCCCTGGGCCCCCTCCAGGTCCCCACGGCTCTCCTTTCCCCACCCCACGGCCCCCGAGGTTCGCTTAGCTTTCTGGGGTATGGTGGTGGCGGCCGCGGCCCCACTCCACTCCTGCCCGCCAGGGCCATCCCCGTCCTTGTGGCTGGCCAGAGCTCACAGTCCGGCCAGGGCAGTGCCAGCCCCACGACCCTCGTGCCACTGCCACCTGAGGTGACGACAGGGCTGTCTGTTCTCGAGGCCTTGCAGGCCTCAGCTCCGGGCAGCGCAGTGCACTCAGGCTGCGGCTGAGACCTCGCAGAGGGGCAGCGGCCCCTGCATGCCCGGGGGCGTCCTGGCCTCCTCCCAAGGGGCGCCAGACCCCAGGGAACGCCACGTCCTCTGACGCGTGGAAGCCCAGCCCCCCCTCCCACTTGCGGCCAGTGTGGCTGGGGCCCTGAGCCCCTCAGAGCAGCCTGGGCCAGAGCAGGCCACCCAGCACACATGCTAGTCGAGGACGCTGACCCATGTCGGCTAGGCCCGAGCCTGGGGAACGCAGCCTGCTCTTAGGGCGGCCAGGTGCCCGGCGTGGAAGGGGGAGCTGGGCGAGGACCGGGCCCGCCAGCCTCTGCCCCAGAGGTGGTCAGGCCATGCATGCCGCTGGCCGCCAGCTGCCCGGGACTGCGGACCATGGTGCCCTGCCCGAGCCCCGCCCACGCTGGCCAGCAGTGAGCCACCTGTGGTCAGTGGAGGGCATCGGTCACCAGGCTGCGGATCACCCTTAAACTACCCTAAGAACAAACTGTTCCTCCTCAGACCGGCACAGCTGTGAATCAGAAACTTGGCCAAGCGGCCGTGGTAATCCAGTGTCTTGTGTGGACACTGCTGCCGCTCAGCCCTTCCCTCACAGGAATCCCCAGCAGCGCATCGGCGGCCGGCACAAACTGCCCAGGGCCCAGGTGCCCCGCGGGCTGATCCTTGCACTCACTGGCATGTCTGACCTTCTCAGGGTCTTGGAAGATGTTACCCTTCGCCCTGGCCCCCAGCCTTGATACCCCGTTTCTTAGGACCCGCTCCTGTTTATAAGCAGCTCTCTGTCCACTCGGCCCCCCGGGAGTGACCAGCACTTGTCCCTGTCCTCCCAAGCCCGACCCCCTGCAGCTCGCTTGGGCAGTGCCTTCCTGCCATGGGCCCTGCCCTGCCCCCGCGTGGACACCCCCTTGGGGGCCCTGCCCAAGGCTATCCCCGGTGGTGGACGGCGGTGGGTGGCCAGCGTGACTCAGTGATTCAGACAGACCCAGGTTGCTTTCTGGAAAGCTGCCCTGGCTCCGCCAGGCTGCAGTGTGTTTGGCCACTACAGAAAAACCCAAAGGGGTGTGCACCCCTGTGGGGTGCTGGGCAGTGGCCAGGGTGGGCCAGGCCCCAGAGACTAGGATGGGCAGCTGGCTAGACAGTCCCAGCTCCAGATGCCAGCCGGGTAAGCCACTGAGCCAGGTTCACCTTGGACGCCAGTTGGTGCTGGGTGAGGGCACGGCGAGTGGCTGGCGGCAGAGATGGGCGACCGAGCCCGCTGCCAGCCCTGGACCAGGCTCTTAGGCCTCAAGCTTCTCCCGGCACCTCCTCCCAGCCCACCCTGAGCACCTCTCGGAGGGCCCCGCCTGGCCTCAGCCACAGGCTTCGCCTCCACCTGGCCCAGCCCACCTGTCGTCCGCTCATCACACCTGGGGGGGCTCCAGCTGTCCCAGCACCCCACAGCATCCGAGCCCTGGGGGTGGGCCCCGGCACGCGGGGCCTGTGGGCCTGACTGTGGTTGTGACCTGTGGCCTCCTCGCTGACCTGCAGGCCCTGATGCCCAGGGGGTGAGGACAGTGGGCACCCCCCTACACACACTGCGTTCTGGCTCCCCAGGCCCGCCCCGCTGCACCTGCTTCCCCCAGGCTGCTGGTAGACACCGCACCCACCGCCATCACGGGCTGTGACAATCACCCAGACCCAGTGGGCCGGGGGCTCAGCCTGGGAGGCCATGGGCAGGACCCAAGCAGGGCAGAGCCCAGGCCCAAGGCGGGGTGTGGGGGGCTAGCCCCAGGGGCAGGGGAATCAGAGGTGCTCCTGGGGATGGGGGGGGGGTGAGGGCCAGGCCCGCCCCCTGCCCGGAGAGGGGGCCCAGAGCGCACCCAGAAAGCGCCTGTTTGGCGTGACAGCCCCACCCCCAGTGAGGACTCCTGGGCCCAGCGGCTTCCTGCGTTTGTGGCACAGGGAGGGAGGCTGTGGCTCCCACCGGGCTGCCAGGCGGCCTCGCAGGGGCAGGGCCGGAGCCCAGCGTGACACGTGGGCATAGGGTCAGCTCTCAGGTAGCGGCTAGAGCCTGGGCTGGAGCCACATGGGTCCCAGCTTGGTGGGGCAGCCTGGCCCTTGCACTTTCCGGGGCTCCAGGGAAGCCCCTGCCCCACCAGCTCTGCGGTGCCCCGTGGTCCGGCCCCACTGCAGCTGTCCCCAGCTCACTGCCCTCTGGACCAGGTGCCGACTGACCACCGTCCCGCCTTCTCACAACGCCTGGCCCTCCCTGCCCCCAGGAGTCTTAGCACCCTGTTCTCCAGTGTCAGCTGGGGTGACTGTCCTGTGCCGCAGGCGCCACCTCCCTCCCGCCTCAGTGTCGCCCTGTGTCCTCTGCAGCGGATGACCCCAGGCCTGCCTCCGGGACCTCCGGCACAGGCCCTGACTGGCCGGGACCAAGGGCCCTGCGCCAGCCCCTTCCACAGGGGCCGGGCCCTCTGCAAAGCCTTCTCAGTGTGGGGAGGGGGCTTCCGGGGACCTGCCAAGGAGGTGCCTGCACAGCCGGAAGCCCGGACTGGCGGGCCTGGGCCCCCCTCCCAGCACCCCCAAGCCTGGCCAAGCAGAGCACTGCGAGAGGCTGTCCCCAGGGCCTGGGGAGAAGCAGCTTGGAGCCTGGAGGGGGGCGACGGGGCAGGCCACCCCTGGCTGGGCCTGTGCTGGTCCCCCCAGACCGCAGCCCTGTCCCCGCCTGGGAGCCAGAGCCCCCGCTGGGCGAGCAGCCAGCCAGTACTGTCCCAGGTCCCAGGACTCAGGCCCAGCCGGCTGCTGTGATCCCGGCCGCCGCCCTGCAGACGGGGAAGGGCCCCGGTCTGTGGGGAAGCCTCCTCCTGCCCTGCCCCATCCAGCCCAGGGACCACGGGCCGGGCCAGCCCCCCCATCCTGTAGGTGGGCCCAGGACCCCAGGCGGTCCAGCAGAACCCAGGCAGGTGGCCGTCACCTCTGACCCAGGCTGCGGGGCCTCGGCCGGAGCGTTTCCTGCCGCCCACCCCAGCCCAGCCGGCAGGAAGTGGCCGCCTCCTGAACAAAGGGGCCGGCGGACAATGGCCATTGAATTGGGCCTGGGCGCTCGCGCGGGGCCAGGCCACCAGCTGCCCATGCTGATAAGACCCTGCCCCACGGCATGGCCTCTGCAGGACCCCACCAGGCTGCAGGCAGAGGCGGCCCCCCACAGGCGGGGCAGACCCAGAGGCCCTGAGGGGTCTTTGTGAGTCTGGGGACAGCCCCTAGCCTGGGGGTGCTGGTTTGGCCTGTCCAGCTTCGTCCCCACCCGGCCCACCCACACCTGCCCCCTTGACTATCTGGTCCCACCTCTGGCTCCACCTGCTCCTGACCCCCCGTGCCGCGCCCCAACCCGCCCCCTGCCCCCAACTGCACTGTGCAGCTGACCAAGTGCGCTTTGGACGGCAGCAGACTGGCACTCTCCTCCACACGCCGAGGCGTCCACGCGCGGGCGTCGCCGTGCACCTGCCGTGGCGGGAGGACCACGGGGCCTCCTGCCCCTCTGCAGCGTGGGCAGCCGGCCCTCAGGCCCAGCCCTGCTCACGATGTGGGGCCAGGGGACTACCCCCCTCGCGAGTCTCTGGCTGAGCAGCGGCTCGGGCCACCAGGCCCCAAAGGGGCATGTGGTCAGCTCAGACAGGCCAGTGTGAGAGGCGCAAGCTCTGAGGCCCAGGGAGGCCCCCCTGCGCGCTGCCGGCCAGCGGGCGGCCATGTGCGCCGCCGTCTTCTGGGAGAAGCCCAGCTCCTGGCCACAGGAGGAGTCAGGAAGCCGAGGGGCAGGGGTGGGCAGACCCAGGCTGGGGGAACTGACGGGCTCAAGGGGAACAGGGGCCCCCACCCACTCCAGACCTGCCTCCCGGAGCCGCCTCCCTTGGCCCCCTACAGGCGCAGACCTCCGGGACAAGGAACACAGGGTGGCAGTTGGCACAGAGGGTCGCTCCTGGTGACCCAGGGCAGGTCTCTGGCAGCCAGGGGTGGGCAGGGAGCCTCCCCGAGGAGGTGTGCTGGCGCTGAGGCCCGGAGGGGCATGAGGAGAGGCCGCGCCCTCTCAGAGGGGCGCGGGCGGGAAGGTGCACTCCGCGCCTGAGCAGCCCTGGGGCTGTGGGCCAGATGGCGAGACGCTCCTGGGCGGGGCTGGCAGGGCTCACGTGAGCACTGACCTCGCCTGGCGGCTCCTGCCCCCGTTCCCCGGGTGGCCCAGGGAGCCGGACCCCCACAGCTTGACCTCAGGAATCCAGGCTGGCCCGTCACACAGCCCCTCCACCAGCTCTGACTGCCCAGGCCACCGCCTCCACCTGCAGCCTCGACCCCGCCCGCCAGTGACCCTGGACTCCCTATGCCCCCACGGCACGGTGGGCAGCTCACGGCTGCCCGCTCTGTCCTGCCGGCACTCAGCTGCCGATGCTCGCGGCTGCCCACGTGGGCCTCCCCGCTCCAAGCCCAGTGCACAGGCTGCAGGAAGCGGGAGGCTGGGCAGCCTCTGCGTGGCCCTTTATCAGTCCACACCGCTTCCTGTGGCCAGCACGCCTGGCCCTGTGGCGCCGGGTCAGCTGTGACTCACTGAGGCCTCGCCTGGACGCCCGGCCCCCCGCGCTGCCCCTGCCCCTGCAGCTCAGCCCCCACTGGCTGCAGAGCTCCTGCCTGCACCTGGCCAGCAGCCCGCCCCGGGCCCCCAGCCCACGCGCGGGGCGCCACCACCCTGCACGTCATCAGCACGGCAGGATGCAGCTTTGCTCCCATGTGCTGGGGCCTCCCCGGTCCCTGTGGCTGACCTGCAGCTCCCCTCCCTCCAGGCCTTCCTGAACCCCCACCCAGAGGTCCTCCAGCTGCCGCGTCACACAGCTATCCTGCGTCTGCCACCACTGGCTCAGCTCCGAGCGGGCAAGCACCCCGCCAGCCTGCCTTTGAAACCCCAGAGCCTGCGCTCCAACTGGGGTCCAGGGCCCAGCCCCGTGGTCATCATGGCCCCCACCCTCCGAGGGCCCAGGGACAGTGAGCACAGGGGTGCATCTCAGCCACCCCCAGTCCCTGCCCTGCCCAGCTCCCGACCCCTCAGGAGGAGCAGCCACCCCCTCATCGCCCGTGTGACCCCGCGAGGCCTGGTGCTGGAGCGGGTGGGCACGCGTGTGGCCTTCAGGGCGCCGGGCAACACACAGGCCCCACCCACCCGCGCCTGCCCACCGCGGCACCCGGCTGCCTGCTCGGCCCACCTCTGCGGCTGAGGCCAAGGCAGGGGCCTGGCAGCCACCGATCGCCATGACCCTGCTCAGCGGCCAGCGGAGGCCCCGCCCCCAGGCGGCCCTGACACGCAGGGCCGCTTCCACCTGGGCGGCAGGGCTCTGGCCGCGTCGCAGCCCTGGCAGCTGACCTGGTGCAGGGCTGCTGCTGCTCAGCCTCAGCTCAGCCCCTACCCACGTGGAAGCTTGGGGTGCAGAGAGGGCCAGCAGTGTGGGGTGGCTGTGGTGACAAACAGGCATGCGGGGGACCCATCAGGGCCAGGGTGGGTCAGAGGAGTTGGTGGGCCTCCAGGGGCCTTGGTGCAGGCCGCGGTTCCCCGGCAGGGGCCTCAGGCCCCCAAGCCCCGTGCGCCATGGCCCCTGGGTGGGCTGGCCAAGCCAGCTGGGGGTGGACCGCAGCAGGGGAGCCCGCCCCGCCTGCCCCCCGGCTGGAGCCCAGAGCTCCCCAGGCCTAGCGCTGGGCCCTTGCTATAGGACCATGGCCCCTCTGCCTCTCCTGGCGCTGGGCCTGGACAGAGGCCCGGAGCGGGATGCTGGTGCTCCCCAGACAGGGGACCGCAGGTCACTCAGCTGCGCCTGGGGCGCCCCCTGCTGCCCACAGTGCAGCAGCAGCAGGAGGCCCCGTTGGGATCCCTCCGCCAGACTACAAGGCAGTGGGTGGAGCCCCTGCCCCACATACGGCCTGAGGCCCCCGTGTGCCCGTGGCCTGCTGTGCAGGTGTGGCTGGGCCCAGGCACCCCATCCCTCACAGCCAGGGACAGCTCCCTCAGCCGGGACACCCGGCATCGTGGCATGGCTCCTGCCCCCCTCAGCCTATGGGCTGGGGCCCCTCGGTGGGGTGACAGATGAGGCCTCAGCTCAGAAGGAAAGCCCCCTTGCCTGAGACCCCAGACCTGCCTGCCCTGAGGCCCTAGCCAATGGGGGTGCCTGAAGGCCCCAGAACCCACCATCCCCTCCAGGCTGCCTGCTCCACCCCCTCCCAGGGACTCTGCCCCAGGAGGGGCAGCTGGCAGAGGAGGGGGGCGGCCCCCAGCTGGCTTTGCCTCACCACCCAGCACAGTCGTGGGGGCCCTGTGGCCCGACACCCTCTCGGCCTGCTGGGGCCGTGGGGCGCCTGCCCTTCCCGGCCCACGTGGGAAGCTGGGCCTCCACCCCCGCGGGGTAACCCTGGTCACGCTGGCCCGGACGGAAGGCAGGGGGAGGCCACCCTGGCCTGAGGACAAGGCTGCGGCCCGCTGCGTCCACAGCTCCGTCGGAGGGGCAGCGGTTTGGGCCCTGGGATGGCATGAGCTCCCCTGGGACAGCCCTGGCCCGGGGGCATCAGCCTGCCAGCCAGGGCCACTCCCCCTACCCCCAGCCCTGCTTGCCTGGGCCCCCAAGGCAGGGAAGGGGGCACCACACAGACCACAGACCACACTGGAGCTCAAGTCACGTCTTGTTCCCACCTGCCTCGAAACCGGCTGCGGCAGCCTCGTGCCCGCTCCTGGGCAGGGGCTCCGCTGCCCACGTGACCACGTCCCGAGCGGCCAGGACCCGATGGTGGGCCCTGGCCTTCACGGAGAGGCCAAACCGGGGCTGACCCAAGTCTCCTGGCCCCATCACCAGCCACCGGCAAGCGGGGCGCCGAGGGGCCCGGCTGCTCCCACACAACAAGCCAGGCTGGCTCCGGGCCAGCGCCAGTCAGGATGCAGGCTGGGGCGCCTGCCTTGGGAGGGGCTGGGGTCCGGCCGAGTGGGAGAGCGCAGGCCCACGGGGCTCCTCGGAGCTGCCACCTCTGGCCAGTACGCACCAGCAAGGGGCAGAGCACGGACGCACTGCGCCCCGGGGCCCCGACTTCCCAGCAGCCCGCGGGCGGCGGCCGGCAGTGTCTCCTTGCCGCTGAGGCGGGCGCGAGGCCCTCTGTGCTTGACCTCAGTAGCCGTCCTCGTCGTCCCCCTCACAGCCATAATCTGTGGGCACAGGGGAGGGTGAGACCGCCGTGGGGTGGGGGCGGGGCAGGGGCGGGGCGGGAGTGGGGGTGCTCACCGTCGCGGCCCATCATCTGCAGAGCGCTGACGCAGGGCTCCCCGTCCTCCTCCTCGGCCTCCTCCTCCTCGGCCTCCTCCTCCGGGTGGTAGGACACGGGCCCGCTCTCCACCACCGCCGCGGGCTGGGGCGGCCTGGCCCCAAGGGTGGGGGCGCTCAGGGGGGACCCTGCCTGCAGAGGGGTAGGCTGCCACCATGGGCACCACCAGGGCTCCTGGGGCCCCTGGCCTGGCCAGCCAACGTTGGTCCGGCGCGAGCCCCAGACCCACCCCCAACCACCGCCATGGGGTCCCCTTCCTGTGCCCGCCAGGGCCTGGACTGCCCAAGGGGGCCGCCCTCCACCAGCACCCATCCAGGCACCCACAGGGCTGGACTGGGCCCGGCTGCCCGCTGCAGGCACTGGGCCCGCCCACAACGCACCTCTGGCGCAGCTGGCTTCTCGGGGGGCTGCGAGGACACCAAGGGCCGTAACCTGGAAGCAGGCGGCCATGAGCAGCCCCGCCAGGCTGGGCTCCCACACCCCGCCCCACCACCCTGGGTCTGCACCGCCAAGGTGGCCTTGCGCCCTCCTGGTGGCCACGTGCCCTGCAGCTGGCCCAGCTCTGCCCGGCAGAGCAGCAGTTCTAGTGTCCTTGGGGCGAGGCTGCCAGGCCTGAGCGCTGTGCTCCAGGTGCCACCGCCCCTGACCTGCCGAGACAAGGGCCTCCTTGCTGTGGTCACTATGGGAGGACCTTGCAGTGCCTCCACTGGGTGACCTACAACCCCTCCAACTTGTGGCAGGCCAGAGGCGGGACGGGCAGGGGACGGGGCTGGCAAGGCTGGGAGTGCTCCAAGCCCCGTGCCTGCCACGCCCTCCCCCTCGGGTCCACAGCACCAGCCACTCCCTTCTGCTGGGCCTGCTGTCTCCCAGTGCCTTCAAGGGCACAGTGGCTCTTCCAAGATGCTGCCAGCCCACCTGGGCAGGAAGAGTCCCCTGGGGAGGCGGGGACCACATTGCAGGCCCAGGGGCGAGAGGGTGCTGCAGGTGACCCAGCCAAGCCCTCAAGGCCTATGCGATGAAGCCAGGGCCTGGACGATCCCAACAGGCGGGTGCTCAGGCCACAGGTGCACTCACAAGGGGCAGGCTGGCCGCCTGAGCAGAAGAAGGTGGTTGCCAGGCCCCCCGGAGCCACCCAGGGACCCCAGTCCTCGCCAGGCCAGAGGGAGGAGGCAGATGGGGCTGCCAGCCTGCAGCGGCCACTTCCGTGCTGACACTGGGGGAAGCAGGGACAGGGTGTGGGGCTCCTGGAGGGTGACAAGCTGCTCGGGCCCTCGCTGGAGACAGGGCAAACAGTCTGGGGTAAGACACAGCTCTCCTCTGGGACAGATGACCAGGGTCTCCTCAGGGCCAGAACAAGGGAGATGGGCAACCCCATCCAGTGGCGCCCACCCTGGTGCCGGAGGGCAGCTGCAGGGGTGCAGACGGGGCTGCCCTTCTCCCGACAGCAGGAGCTGCCCGCGTGGGCCCTCACAAGCTCCGGCCACTGAGGTGGCTGGGACCTCAGGGCCGGCAGGTGGAGGCAGGGGCAGCAGCCGACGTCCGACCGCCCCTCACCCGCTCCACACCCACCCACCTCTTCCCCACACTGGCTGCGCGCTCAGACCCCGGCCGGGCCGGCGTCTTCCGGGGCAGCCTGCGGACGCCAGCGGGCTGCAGGGCCCCGGGGGCCCCGCCCTGCAGGCCGGCGCCCGCACTGTCCAGGCCGCGGAGCACGCTGTAGTTGATTTTGCTGGAGATCCTCTTCTGCTCCAGCATCTTCTCGATGGCCTCACCCGCCGTGCTGGCCTGGATGGGCTCCCGGCGCCGGCAGGGCTTCTTGGGCTGGGCGGCAACAGCAAAGGGATCTCAGAGGCTGGGCACACGGGCCCAGGGTCGCAGGGGGCCCGATCTGCTGCCCACCGCCCCAGAGCCTGCCATGCGGCCCTGCCACGCCCACGGGCCCAGGGGCCTGTGCAGCCCAGGGCAAGCGGCCCTCCCGGCCCGCTGGCGGGCCCGTCCCTAGCCCGTGCACCACCTGGTGCCTGCCCCTACCGCCGGCCCCTGTGCCCGGCACCCCAAATGCTGTGGGAAGACAGGGCCTCTTGGGCAGCCGGGTCGCTGCCCGCAACCATCTGATGCTGGCTCTTCACCAGCGGGGTCGGGGCTCGACCACACCCGGACAGGGCCACACGCCCAACAGGCCTGCCCACCTGAGCCACGATGGCGCCGGGCAGCCCCGCGGCCGCCTACCTTGTGCTCCTTGTAGATGCCCAGCTCCTTCTCCTTGGCGATCCGGGCTTCTTTCTCTGAAAGCCGAGGAGGCGGGTCAGAGAGGCCCGGCCGAGAGCGGGCTGCCCGGGCGGGCGCGGCTCACCCCTCTGCTCCCGCAGGTACTCCGCGTTCTCCCGCATCCACAGCTCGGCCTTCACGCGGGCTTCGGCCTCGTCCAGGATGTACTGTGCGGGCACAGCACTGCTCAGGGAGGGCCCGCCCCACCCCTCCCGCCACAGGCAGGGCCGCCGCACACAGGGACGGTCCCGCCTAAGGCAGGGGCCAGGGAGGCCAGAGGCCCTAGAAGACGCACGCCAGGCCCTGCCCAGTGCCGAGGCTCCGAGGCCCATGCTTGGGTTGGCAGGAGCCGGGCAATGCAGGGTGATGGGTGCTGGTGACAGGACACCCGTCGGGGGAGCCAGCATCACGCTGGGGACACCCGGCCACATGGGGACAGCATGGATGGGCAAGGGTGGGGTGTGGGCAGGAGCGGGGGGCGGGGGAGAGAGGGAGGGTGCCTACCCTGTCGATCTCCAGGTCGTCAATCCCGCTCAGGTCCAGCTCACCGTCCCCCGGGGCACCTTCTAGAGGAAGGGCTGCGTCAGCCCTCGGGCTGCTCGGCCAGTGGGGTACAAGCCCGCCGGGCTCCCGCCAGCCCCATGCCCAGGTCTGCCTGGCTGGCTCTGGCGCCAGACCTGATGCCTCCTGTGTAGGCGCAGCGCCTGGGCACAGAGGCCCATGGGGAACCTCACAGCCTGGTGCGGCTCCACCCCTCGGCACAGGGCTGCCCACGCGGGGTGGGCCGACACTCGCCTGGGGAGCCTCCAGACGCCCCTGGACGTGAAGGGCAGCGCACACCCCCAGATGTCATGGCCACCCCAGCCAAACAGGGCTCCATCCTGAGCCTCCCGGGACAACAGCCCCTTGGAGGAGGACGAGTGGCCAGCCCCAGCCCGCGTGCCCCACACTCACGGGATTCCCTGCCCGGGGAAGAGATGCACTCCCGGATGGAGTCTGAGATGCCCAGGCTGGCTGCCGTGGGCAGGGGCCCCAGCAGGGCCTCCAGGGCAGGGGGCCTTCCATCCCCGTCAGGGCCGCCCGCCGCCTCTGAGCCCCCTGGAAGGCCGCAGAGCTCCCGGTAGAAGTCCTTGTTCAGGTGGCTGGCAGCGACCTCGAGCTCTTCGTCCTCGGCGTCCTCGTCACCAAAGATACTGGCTGTGGGGTCGTCGGCGGAGCCTAGGACGCAGGGCCACAGCACCAGGCCGGTGAGCCTGTGGGCGTCAAGCCCATCTGGACAGACAGCGGGGCCTTGTCCGCCCAGGGCTGCCTGGACACACGGGACTTCCGGAACCCGTAACAGAGTCGCTGGGCCTGGGAGCATCAGCCCCCGAGACTGAGGCCAAAGGCACCCCCAGAATGCGAGCAGCAGCTTCCGGCAGAGGCCAGACTGGTGCCCCAGGAAGGTGGGTGAGGCACAGCGCCAGTGGCAGTCGGCCTGGCTCGGCCACACCTTGCTACTCAGAGGTCACGATTCCAGGCGGTGGGGGGTGGGCTGAGCACCAGCACCCTCGCCACCCTTGGCCACAGCACGGGTAGAGAAGGAGAGGGCCACCCCACAGGCCACAGGGCTGAGCTCGAGACAGGCCCACAGGGTGCACCCGACCACGGGACGGGCAGGAAGGGCCGGCTCAGTGGGAAATGGCCGAGCCCTGCAGGCCAGGCGGGCACCTCACAGGCTGCTGAACGAGCTGCCCCACTCTGCGCCGCCGGGCCCCCCAGTGCCCTCTTGGGCGCCTGTGCCGCAGGGCGTGGGGCGCCGTCTGCATGAGAGTGGCGCAGAGCCACTCTCGCCGCAGGCAGTGACCGGGGTGGCGGGACGCTTGCACGGGGTCCACAGGCTCCGTCAGGCCCCTCCACTGCCCTGCCCCCAGAGGCACATGGAGGCCTCGCCAGGCCCCCCCAGAGGCACATGGAGGCCACGCAGCTCCCCACTGCTGTGCGAGACCTGTCGCGGGAGCCCGCCAGGGGGCGCTCCTGGAGCCGCAAGCACGGGCCCCACCCACCTGTGGCTGCAGGAGGCCCCAGGTGGGGGGTGGAGGGGTGCGCAGAGGTGCTCAGGCAGGAGGTGCCGACAGCCCGGGGTGCCAGCCAGAAGCAGGGCCTGGCGTTACACCCCACCATGTGGCGGAAAACAGCTCTACCCACGGGAGCCCCGTGAGAGCAGGAAGCCCGCTGAGTCGGCGGCAGGATGACCCGGTAGACGCAGGGTCCAGGTCCTGGCAGCACCACGCCCACAGGAAATGGCAAGTGAGAGAGGCGCCATCAGCACAGAGGGGGCCACGGCCCACGGGGCACCCGGGCACCAGGGCCAGCACACACCTAGAGGCTGAGGAGCAGAGAAGGTGGGGCAGGTGGACTCACCCTCCTTGGCCAGGCTGGCCAGGGCCCCTTTGGCCCGCGGCCGGCTGCTCTCCAGCTCGCTCTCGATGGCGTCCTGGTAGCTGGAGATCTCCCCTGCAGGGTCAGGAGCGGGTCAGCTGAGACACCCTGGGGCCCGGCTGCGCGTGCCCCCAGGGACTCACCTTCCACCTCCTCCAGCTTCTTAGACAGGACCTGCTCCAGCTGAAAGAGAGGCGGCCGTGAGCGGGGCTAGGCCTGGCCCCAGCCTGCCCGGCCCGGCCACCCACCTGCTTCAGGCGCAGCTTCCTCTGCCCGGCGGTGTAGGACGGTGGGTCGCACTCCTCCTCCAGGTCAATCTTCATGAACTCGTCCACGGTCAGCTGGCTGGTGGGCGTGTCCTCGAACTCCGTGAGCCTGCGCAGGACAGCAGGGGGCGCGGCCTGAGACCGGCCTCCCGGCACGCCCCTCTGCTGGACAGCAGCCAGCCCCGGGGTGGGGGGCCGGACAGGGGTCCCCGACTCTACTACGCCAGGTGGGGCGCAGCACCACACCCAGGAGCGAGCAGGAGCCAGCACAGGCTTTAAGTGGCCAGGAGGCTCCCGTCCACCCTGGGGGCCCATGGGAAAGCGCCTGCACAGCAACAGCCCTGGCCGTAAGGCTCCGGAGCCAGAGCCCAGGCCCCAGCGCGGCCCAGGAAACCACATGCAGCCGCCAGAGCACACTGGGAGCGGCCAGGCTGTGGGGCAGCAAGCGGGGACCCAGGAGCCCGGCTCACCTCTTCCGCAGGGTGGACTCACACACCTTGACCACGCTGACCACCTCTCTGACTGTCCTGCGGAAGTCGTGCATCCGGGCAGCCACCAGGAGCGCTGCAGGGGTGGGGCGGGGGTGAGGGCGCACGAAACCCCAGGACTCAGGATGTGTGGACAGATGGGGAGTGGGCAGCACTCAGGACACCCGGAAGGCTCTGGGCAGGGATGCTGGCATGAGGTTCCAGGGGCACTGCCTGTTGGTGGTTGGCCAGGAGGGGTCACGCTAGTGTGGGACCCAGCCACACGTGGTCACCACTCAGCACAGCAACCCCGGAGCCCAGCCAGGAACCTGGCCTCTGAGGCCCTGCTTCTCCCCACCCCCAGGGCTGTGCAGGCCACGAGGGCAGCAGGGGGCCGGGCCGCGGCTCTGGAGATCAGCCGCACCCATGCCAGGCCGACCTGCCCCGCAGAGGCCCGAGGGCCGGCGCCCAGTATGCATCCAGTCCCTCTTCATCCTCTGCAGGAGCCGCAGGGCCGTCATGGACACCTCGTGGTTCTTGTCCCCGAACTCCAGCAGGTGGGCGAAGCGAGGGATGTACAGGCAAGGGTCTGCGGCAGACACAGGCCTCAGTTCGTGCCCCAACCAGCAGCCCTGCCCCCGACAGGCAGGCGCGTCCCTCCCTGCGCTGCCCACTGGAGCTGTGAGCTCACACCCTCCTGCGGCAGGCCCCGCCCCCAAGCGGAGAGTGCCCAGGGAAGGGCTGGCTGGAACCAAGGACCCTGGGCCTCTTCTGAGGCACAGGTGGGTTTGGCCTGGAGGGATGGCGAGGACCTGTGCAGGTGGTGGCTGGGCCAGGCCTGACCACGGGTCACCATCTGGCCACCAGGGGCAGGAGAGCCACCGCGCAGCAGCCCCACAGCGATGCCACAGTAGGCCCAGGCTCTCCCTGCAAGGCCCCTCCAGGCAGCTCAATGTCTCCCAGAGGTCTGCTTGAAAAAGGTGTCTGTAGAACACCAAACTGCACCTGGTCTCCTGATGGCCTGGAGTCAGTCCCTGCTGTTCCGGCCACGGCAGCCTGAGTGGGACCCCAGGCAGGGAGGGACCCTGGGCACAGCAGACCCCTCCCATCTCCCCGCTGAGACCCCTGCTGGTGGGTCTCAGGGGCCCAGCCTGTTCGGCTCCCCACTGTCTCTGGGGCGTCCTAACACACACAGCCCCCCTCCCACACACACACCCCCGTCTGTAGCCTGCAGCCAGCTCTTCCATGCACAAATAAGAAAACTCTTCGAGACTGTTTCAATCAAACACACCGTCAGCAGTCACGCCGGAGCCAGTCCTAGCAGCCGGGCACCCAGCTGCCACATGGGGCCCGTGGGGGGAGGAAACAGGCTGCTGCGGGCACAGCAGGGGGAGGGTGGGGTGTGGGAGGGAGAGAGATGGAGGAGGCCGCCCTGGTAGTTGGGGAATGGGGGGCTGAAGGAAAGGCGGCTTTTCAGGTGGAGAAGACCTAGGGGGGGGAGCCAGACAGCTTCAGACCGGCAGGGGGCGGCCCAGCCCAGGCGCGGGGAGGTGCTCTTCAACATCCCAGGGCTGGCCTGTGCCGGGACAGGCAGGGCGCCCTTGCAGGCTCCAGCGGGCAGGAGAGGGACCTGCACCGTTGGGCGATGAGGATGCCCGACCGTGCAGCGGCAGGCGGCGCCCCGAGGCCTCTGTGGGGCAGACCCAGCGGGGCTCTGAACTTGGCCCCGGAGCAGCCACGAGCAGCTGCTGCCGAGGTGGCCCCCCAGCCTGACAAGGGGTCGCGGCTTGAAAAGCAGCCTTTGTCCTCATTCTTAGACCTAGCTGCAGCTGGAACTGGAAAAAAAGTCAGAGCTTGGTGCTCAGGTACAAGTTTAAATCTAACAAAGCTAGGTGACCTGGCGTGACAGCGCCGTGAGGAGGGTGAGGACTCGGCGCCCAACCCTAGGAAAGAACCAGGGCTTGGCGCGGCCGCGTGGGGAAGCGCAGGAGGGGGGCGGCTGCTGGATGACCGCGGGCACAGCCGCCACCCGAGAACCAGGCCGGTGCACACACCCCTCGGGACAGAGCCACGCGCACGGACCTCAGAGCCTGAGAGGAAGAGGAGAGCAGGCCCCCCGCGGGGGCGGGGGCCGCCCCACCGGACTACAGGAACGGGCCACGCTCGCCGCAGAAGGGCCGCCACAGCACGGAGCAGCGTGGGGTCCAAAGGGAGCCATGGGCCGGAAGGGACCGGTTTCTACGGGACGAAGGCGAGGCAGCGCGCACTACGGGCCACCAGGGACTCGGGGCGCCAGCCCGAGAGACGCGCCGGGCCCGC